ATCATTGTGAGTTTTTAGAAGGTGTTCACCTGCAATTACATTAACATCAATTGATTATTGCATACGAGTTACAACCATGTACATTGGACAACCATAATCACAAGACTGCAATCTATGTTTAAGTTTTCAGTTAATGCTTTCATGCAACTGTGTTCAGACCGTGCTAAGTCTTATCCGATGCTAGTAATCCTCTTCCTTTTCACAGCAAAAAGCAGTGACTACTTGATTTCTTCATCCAACATGAGAAAACCGGTTCAATTCAGTTGTCGAAACCAACTACTTACTGAATAAAATTGAGGAAGGCTTTGAGAAAAAGAACATGGTAGGTACTTCTGCATTTTTCTGTTCAGACATGCCTATGTGAGTGTGTAATAAAAGTCCCACATTGACATAACGGCGAAGAGAGAGAAGGAAGAGAGAGAATAACATGCAGCCTGGCAACCAATTGCAACATACTTACCTGGACGGGGTCTATGGGCGATCAAGAAGGCCCATGGCCTAGGTTAGCGACCTCCATTGCACTCTCGGAGGGACGCTCGCCTAAGGTCAGCCCAAGTTGGCTGAGCCTACGTCATAATTTGTGCCAGCAGGGGCCTGCGTTTGCGCGGCCCCTACTAATTTGTAGTAAGAAAGGAATGGCGTAGTGATACCTGTGTTTAATTAATGTCCATCTTTGTCTGTGAAGAATTTTTAAGTGGTATGCTCAACTGGAATTGGTAGATGAATTGGAGAACGTATGCTATTATTTGGGGTCAGTAAGTGCAGTCCGGTCCAGTTCGGTTTTAATATAAAAGACGGAACTGGTTTTGTACTGTTTAGTTTCGATGTGAAAGACCGTCTGGTTTCGTTTCGCCTTATGTTTTCCAAACTGTTTGGGTTCGGCTTCCAAATAAATAAAAACCGCCCCTCACTCACCCTTATTGGTTGGGGAGGTTTTAGGCAAGATAGATAGATGGCTATGACTGTAATAGGAGAGCCAACTTGGGAAGAATGAGGTATCTAATCTTCAACATGGTCTTTGCTTTATGTTGTATCTCTGCTATGAGTTTTAGTAGGTAAAAGTGGGACCGTCATTGGTAGAACTCTTCACCTGTAGATGTTCACTAAAAAAAGGATTTCATGCCTCGAAGGAACGCCTTCATTTGGTACATCTGTGTTCTTCTGCGCAGGTAGCTGCAAGGGAAAACATCTGCATACATACGGTAAACTATAACCAGAATTGAACGTTTTTTGTTTAAAGCTATAAACATACAATTCATCTAGTCAGGAATTCAAAGAGAAATGCATTTCGTGGGTGAGTCTTATTTTTCTGAAATCAAAGAAATGGCAAACCAATAGGGGCTGCAAAGTTGTTGACACAAAAAAAGAGGAGCAAATAAGAGTGAGAAAAGAAATGAAGTAATAGCATAATCTGAAATTTGCTGAACGAATCATCAACATTTAGCATTGATTCTTTGGCATATCACTTAGGGAAGCTCACATGAGAAGTCAAATAACATGAAACCTGGAAATAATACCAAAGGAGAAGCAGAAAAATCTTTAGCAGACTTCAAGGGTTGAAGTTCAAACTCGAATAGAAGTACTCATTGGATTCATAGTTCATAAACAGTGCCTCCGACATATTTTCTGGTGCCAAATCATTGAATAAACATATGTACAGAGAATTGGAAGTAAGAGAACATCTTCCTAAATTAAACAGAAGCATTTTGAGTCTGATTTGGTCCCACAAAAAAAAGATAATGATGAAATAGAGGAAGTCCCTGGCAAAGCTGAAGTGGATGCCAACTGTCAATCACTTACCTGGACAGGGTCGATGGGCGATCAAGATGGCCCATGGCCTAGGTTGACGGCCTCCATTGCACTCCGGACGGTGTGTTGGCCTAAGGTATGCTCATCCTAGAGGAGCCTGTCATAATTTGTGAGAGCGAGGACCCCAAAATATGAGCTCAAAATCTTGATGCACTTGTAAGCTGATGACGGCAAATATATCTGCGAATTTTGATACACTTGTGAGCTGTTGTAGTAACTCTGTGACTCCACAACATCTGGAGTTGAGTTGAGCATAGTTACAAAATAAACACATGAGCCCCATTCACCACAATATGGAGAAAAGGTGGTTAACTGAAAATCTTTCGTGCAGTTAGCTTGTGAAGGGCTGCGATCTCATGCCGAATTGCTGCTGATATAGTATGCCATGGTTGAAAAGATAATTCAACTCATGCATCTGACATTAGTGCTTGAAGATGTAGAGCTTGAAGTTGCAGAAGCAATCTTGAGAAGATTGAATCATAAGTCGTGTTAATGCAAGTCCATTAGTTAGCAATGGAGCAAGTCTCTTGCAGCAGATCTATTTGCTTTCATATGAATCAGGCAAATATGACAAGCCATATGATCTGCATTTTGAACCACATTATTATTCACATTCCTTTTATTTCTACACCATGGACAAATACCATTCGGCAAATGGCAGATTGCAACAGTTACCATCTTTGTCGGATTGTAGAATTTTCCCCAATATAGAATGTCTATGAGAGGGTCATTGATTTCTCTTCATCTTTGCTGAGTAGTCCTGAAATCAGCTGACAAAATTAGAGTGGTCAATTACATCAGAGATCACGGTGAACATAATTGGTCGATTTCTCTGGCTGTAGATTTTCACAGAGAACTTATTCTGCACTCATTAGGAAACAAGGCCCTCATTTTTGTGCACATTATCATGAATTAACTCTAGTGTAGATTTCAATCTCATAATCGGCATGGTTGAAGCTCAAATTATATAATCCATGATGAAGCATACAGTTTGAAGAAGATATTATGGTTAATTGCAATGAGACTGCTACAGAAATGAATCTCTTAGCATGTGTATTAACTATTATGTTTGACATTGCTAAGTTTCAGGCAGCGACAGTCACTCCCAGCATCTCTGTCCCCAGTTTCTTCTTTTCATGTTCAGGTGATGTCAAGAGGCAAACTCGACACTGTGAGAGGCGATGACAAATTAGAGAAGCAGCTTTCTAAGTTAATCAGACAAACCTCCATTTGCGCACAGGATTCATGCAATGGAGATTGCAAAGTATCTGGTTTTAATTTTCAATACCATTTAAGTCTTTGGTAGAATGCTGCTCACCAACCTATTTAAAATTTGCAGGAGTAGTTCCACTTTACTGTTTATTATTTGACTAAAATTGCTTGCTTACTTAGCCAAAAAGGAAACAACACAATCTACTCCCTGTCCACAATTAAGGATAAGAAACTAAGCAATTGAGTATATACCGTATATAAGGTTGCATATCGGTATTTTTCCGTGCAGCTAGCTATGAGCAGAAACTTTTACCTACATATGGTAAGAAGTGTGCCACATCGAAAAAATTTTAAGAGAGAGAGAGAGGCTCGAGAGTATGTATAGGGAAGCGCCACTAGCAATGGTCGCCCACAAACCTTGACGGGGTCGTTGGGTGATCAAGAATGCCCATGGCCAAGGTCAACGGCCTCCATTGCACTTTGGTGGTGCGCTGGCCTTAGGACTGCTTGTCGTAGCAGTTCCTACGTCCTAATTTTTGGCAGCGGGGCCACACGATGTGTGGCCCTACCAATTCAAGCTCAAAATTGTTGTACAAAACCAATTTTCAATAGTTCATGTTAGGTGATTTTCGTAGCAAGGCCTGGTGAAGACTTAAATGGATGAAATGAGTCATGCTGACAGGAAAATCTAGATTGCTTGCTCATGCTACTGTATGAAATCTGAACTTCAATTTATGTTCTTTTCACTACAAACGGAAAGTGGGATATGATTCCGATAGCAAAGACTAGAAACTGCTGCGATGATTTTTAGCAGTAGCTATTTCACGTGGTCAGCTGCGATAGATAATGATGCTGTGCCAATTTTAGGCCCTGGCCAAGAATTCTCTTTAACTTGTCACGTCAAAGTGCCAGAGATGATGTACCAATAGTGATCTATCCTAGCAAACCAAAATTTGTTGACGAAGTTAGGAAGACAATTGTAAGTTGTATTAATGCTGCAATACTGCCCAAGCAAGGGGCTCTCAGCTCTAAGTGCAGATTGTACTGATATACTTTGGCTTCATAAGATGGTGAGTCCTCCAGTCTGCACTTAACAGTACCATTGTTTGCATTTCTTCTCTTTCTCTTTTCTTTTTGTTAAATTTACCATCTTGGGCATCATCTAAACTGCAGCTCACAAGTTGCAACCGGCAACTGGTATTTTTACACAAATCCACAATTGACAGCTGTGTCAGTTAATATTCTTTCGCCCAAACATGGATGAACTGAGGTGGTTAATTCGGTGAAACTGGGCTTTTGCCACATCCATACAGGTCTTTTGTTCATGAACTGGGCAAAATATACATAGAAGCAGAAAAAAATGATTGAAGAGGATGTTGTTTCCTCTCTACTTTGCCTACATCAAATATTTCTTAGCATCTCCACTTTCTTTACATGACATTACTGCGTAGCTCTTAATTCCATCTTTTCTAGAGTAGTTTCATCCACAAGTTGGTGTTCTAGAGGAAATATATGAACTATATGGACCGTAAGAAGTCGATAAGAGAAGAGGGCAATCGCAAATGGCAATGTGAACTTGCCTACCATTTCGAGATGTTGATGTATCACATGCTAATTCCGAAAAGGTTAGTGCATCAATAGGTAAAGCGACATTGACAAAGAATAGAAATCGGAGCTAAGCAGTAAATGGCTGGATATCATCAAACAACGGAACAGTGATGTTTCCAAAAGAATTGATTATAAACCTTCAAAAGATGCCAATTCCACAATGGAGGAGGCGAAGAAGATGAGAAAGAGTTCATTAAATCAAATTTTAAAGCCACCAAGGCCGGCGCTGGAAGCAAATTTATCATCTAACTGAAGTAGGGAAGGGTTATGTAACAACTCTTGAGCCTGATTATTGTCCCAAATGGAAGAACTACTAAAAAATCAACTGATGAAGTACCAGAACAAGACTAAGGTGTGGACCAACTGTCAAATCACTTACGTGGAAGGGGTCCATGGGCAATCAAGAAGACCTGTGGCCTAGGTCAACGACCTCTATTGCACGCAGGTGGTGCTATGGCCAAAGGTGTGCTCATCGTAGCAGTGCCTACATCATAATCTGTGGTAGCGGGAGCTTGCCTCTGCGCAGCCCCTTCAAATATCAAGCCAAACATTTGGTCTCTTTGGAGAGTGCATAATAGTAGGCTGAGCTAGAGCGCCATGTTTTTACCTCATGTCTATGCAAACTCCATATGATCTATCAAGCTTTCACTTGCCTCATAAGTTCTGAATCCTGGAGGTACGTCTCAATAAACAAATAGATAAAAACATGAGCAAGGTTTCTGTGACTTTCTGCTCAGCCTACTATTATGCACTCTCCAAAGAGACCGAATGTTTGGCTTGATATTTGAAGGGGCTGCGCAGAGGCAAGCTCCCGCTACCACAGATTATGATGTAGGCACTGCTACGATGAGCACACCTTTGGCCATAGCACCACCTGCGTGCAATAGAGGTCGTTGACCTAGGCCACAGGTCTTCTTGATTGCCCATGGACCCCTTCCACGTAAGTGATTTGACAGTTGGTCCACACCTTAGTCTTGTTCTGGTACTTCATCAGTTGATTTTTTAGTAGTTCTTCCATTTGGGACAATAATCAGGCTCAAGAGTTGTTACATAACCCTTCCCTACTTCAGTTAGATGATAAATTTGCTTTTTGCGGCACATTGTGATTTCTGATGTCGGCACTCTACTGAGTCCTGGTAGAAAGTTCTTCCACTTGCTGAAGTTGAGAAACGAACTGCAAAAGATTCAGTTGTCATCCATTTCCTGAGCTGAAGGCAGATTTTCTCTTTTCCATATAAGGAGCTTCTGATAATGGAGATGGAAGCAAATCCTCTGACTGAAAAGAATCCACTGAAATGGGAAAAAGAAGAAAAAACCTCACCAATTCGCCATACACATTTTTTTCCTAACCATTTTCTGTATTCTTAGCCATGTATAATGTATCTGTGATATACTGGCCTCTAGGGGAACATTGCTTTGCTTCCTTCTTTATTGTAGAACTCCAGTATAAAAACATGACCTGCTCCCACACGGCTCCCCATCGTCCCACAATGTATATGAAATGACGAAAAGAGAGAAAAGGAAGTCCAATTAAAAGGGAGCAACTGCACTTACCTGGATGGGGTCAATAAGTGATCAAGAAGGCCCATGGCTTAGGCTAGCGACCTCCGTTGCACTTTGGAGAGGTGCTTTAGCCTGAGGTCTGCTCGAGAGACAGAGCCTATGTTGTAAGTTGTGGTAGAGGGGGCCTGTGTTCGCGCAGCCCCCACCAATTCATAGTCCAAACAATATCAGTGACACATCTTGGGGTAGAAGACTAGCGGTGACACCATAGGTTAATATTACACAACCAGGCGAAGTCGGAAAGAGTGAAGGATGAGATTTAATAGACATGCACTGCAACTTCCATAATCGTCTAGAACTGTAAAGGGAAAAACTTTGTAATACCTTGATGTCTCAAGTTGAGCAATAAAATTTCAGCATTTCAGTCGTTCTTTCAACCAGCATAGGATTGTGCATTTGCTAAGACATCACTAATAGATAAATGATGCCAAGGTTTTCAGAATTAAAATTAAAGGGGAATCTTGTCTGATTTCCAACTTGCGTATATCTGCTAATCATGAAGTTTTAGCATGACACATCATGTTTATCTGCACAAATCCTTAAGCAATTCCATTCACAAGATGGGACAATAGATACTTATATAAGAGGAAATTTTTGAAACAATAGAATAGTGAAGACAAGAAGAAACTAGTGATAGGCTTCGAAGCACTCGGGCAAAAGGAGGAAAATTGCAACCCACTCCAAGTCTCCAACTAATTCAATCAAGCTAAATACTTATGAAAAGGAACCAATGCAGCTGTTGCAATGCTGTGTGGCAACCTAAGAAAAAGGCAGAAATGCACATAACATCAATGATGAATTGACGACGAATCAATTTTCAGAGTAAAAGAGCAGTACTTATGCTACCATAGGAAATTTGAACGAATCTTGAGCCGTATCCAAGATTTGACCTTCGAGCCAAGGCCAAACCTGGAAGCTTGAAGATCAGATGGGATCACATCAGGTTAGATTAAAGTACATCGAAGATTAACAAAAGCGAGATCATTAACAATTCTCTTGCAGTCACAGTTCACCAGTTCATTAGGATGAGAAGTAGGTAGTGACAGAAACCAAAAGTTGGGTAGTAAGAATAATTTATGAGCCACTTGTCAACTGTGACATCTCATGCCTTTATACTGACTCTTGATTTAAGGACCTGAAGCCCAGAGGTTTGTGCGAGTACTGAACAATCTCCAAAAGAGTTTTTCCTTATTTGGCATGGAGCTCCTCACGATGGAGATGGAACACAGAAGCAATGTTTTTGTGGAGAAGATTTACTGTGCTTCAATCAGAAAGCCAAGAAAGGACATAGGCCATACGATCAGTGCAGTAATAGTCTTATTGCATACATCCCTTCTCTTTATTTTCCACAGGCTCAAGAATCATGGCAAGGAAACATTGAAAAGCAGAACAAAACTTTCCCATTTCCATACACAAATCTTTAGTTTGCCCCATTTTTTTAAACACATTGTTTCTCTCTTACACAAACCTGTCTCTCAATTCAGATCTCTCACACTCTTTCTGTATGTTATGCTGGTCATCTTTTAAGTTTTAATACCATTAACAAAGACAACTGAAAAGAAATATACAATCTTACTTTTTGGCATCACTCTGTTTGTCCCCCATCAAATATGTATGGTTGAAGAGAGAGAAAGAGCGACAAAGCAAAGGGATCAATCACAACTTTCGAAACATGCCTACCTAGATGGGGTTGATAGGCGATCAAGAAGGCCTATGGCCTGGCTAGTGACCTCCATTGCACTCTTGGAGGGGCGCTCAGTCTAAGGTCTGCCCAAGTGGCAGAGCCTATTGTGCAGCCCCTATCAATTTATATTTTGTGATAACAGAGGATTCGAGAGCAGCCTATTATCCAGAATCATCCCATCATCATTCACTAGTAGTAGATGGTTCAATGGCACTTTAAAACCAATTGGTTCTTCATCTCCAGACTCGATGCTGCGCAATTAAGTGTTCTGCTTGATTCATGTGTTTGGTCTCTCAACTTCAATTTTGGCATAGAAATACTAGTTTAGCCACAAAACAAAGAGCAAAATTTGAATGTCACAATACGCTCTACTTTTTGACAGATTAAATCAGAGGTTTCTTATAGATGATTAGTGCATGAGAACACCGTAGGGAATTGGTTTATGCTTAAGCAGATCATTCAACTAATCATGAATGCATTGACACTTTACTTCAGATGACGTCGGTGATTATGGCATAAGATTGGATTAAGTCGATTTGCAGTAGGAGCAGCTTGCAAGTGGGAATTCGACGCATATCGGCCCATGAATGACAAGCATAAATTTAGTGTCACGGGACCGTGTCAAAGTAACGTAGGCATGAGCAATAACTGCTGTTGTGGGTTGAAAAGTGCGATTGTTCAAGTACATTAGAAGGAGATGAAGAAGGAAGAGGAGGGCACACATACATACACTGCAAGTTCACTCTTGAATACAAAAAAAATTCAGGAATGTGTATTTTATATAATGGAAAAGGACGATAATGGAAAAGCATATGAGAAACTCTTTTTCCCCTCCTATGTTCTAAACTTGAAATTAGATAACATAATATTCCTGTCACAAAGTAAAGATCTGTAGTAAAACACATAGACTTATTTAGGGAAACACGTCAACATGAAATATATTGGCAACAAACAACAGCAACCAGCGACTAAACTCTGTCCCATGTTTCAGAACAACGGGACCAAACCATCTGTTTCCATTGACCGGAACTACCCCTGCTCAGAACTCATCATGCCTAATCTCGGGCTCGAATAGCACAGACAAGTCACGTTCTCCAAAGCTGGGGAAGACCACCTGATAAATTTTATACAGTATAAATTCAGAGAAAAACCCCAATTGTCAATCCAGGAAATGAAAAATCACTAGTAAAAACCTTTAGATATCAACGCTATGATGCTTGACACAATATTATTCTTCCTTTCAACCAAGTGTTTTCTCACACCGATCTGCATTTCTATGTAAAAGCAAATAACTGTTTTTCGGTGAAAGGAAAACTTACAATGATGAGCTTCCCAGCATTCTCTGGCCTTCTCGCTATCTTAATTGCTGCAGCAGCTGCTGCTCCGGATGATATTCCTACCTGCAAAGTGTATCCCGATGATCATGAGAATGCAAAATGTACAATAAGAGCCAGAAATTGTTCTCTTTCTCTTATTTTCTTTTGGCCATAAGAGCTAGCAGTAGTTGACATTCCTAATAGATCACAATATTTGCATAACAGGAAAGCACGAAAAATTGAACCCGCAGATTACCAGCAAGCCTTCCTTCAATGCGAGCTGCTTTGCAGTTTCCTTAGCTTCGTCGCTTGATATCTGCAATTTGAAATGGCATTAAAATTTACTCGGAAACGTATAAGCTCAGAAAATGATGATCAAGACTTGATGGCAAAAGGTACAGACTTCCTAACCAACTAAAATAGGATTGCCTCCATTACCAGCTGACAAATAACATACATAGCCTTTTGGAATAAACCTTTTTCATCTATTGTGAATATATCTTTCCATTTTGTGTGTTTGCATTATTCAGATATAGTACAATGACTACAAAGTCAATGCCTAAAGCACTCACAATAGGAGCAATTTAGGAATTCTAACACGAGACCATCAAAGTACATCAGTAGGATAAAGTATCAAGATCCATATATATTATTGTGATGCCATGCGGAGAAGGGGAAGTGCCTTGTTCTTCTTGTTTTACTTTTCCACCTGTTATGAAAAGCCCCCGTGCAATCATCTACTAAACCTAAGCTCGCTCTTAGAAAAGAAACTGTAACTTAGAAAGCTCATTGCTGACAAACATATTCTTGATAAAACCAATATTATGAACATTTTTCCAGCTTTTATAAGGGGAAAGGGAACAAATTAAAATTTCTTGGATGAACTCCTACCTGAATTACTTCATCTAGTAAATCCACGTCCAGAACTCCGGGGATGAAACCAGCACCAATACCTTGAATCTTATGAGGGCCTAGAAAATTATGGGCATGAAATTCTTAGTCAAATAGAGGATTGCACAACCTAGTCTTCAGAAGCTTTGGAGACTTTTGGGTCTTAGGATGCTTATAACAGCAAGAGAGGATACAACTGACTGCATTAGAAGCAGAAAAAGCAGTGTCTCCTGTTGCAAGAATATCATAAACAATGCAAAATAGAACTATAAAAGGAAATACAAAGTTACTTGACTCCTAAATTAACCTTCATTAGTCCATGGTTACCGTGGCACTTGCAGATATTAGTGTATAAAGGCAATAACTAACTAGCCTAGTGAATTAAGAGATTAAGAATGTCAATCATGCAACATAAATTAACCTTCATTAGTCCATGGTTACCGTGGCACTTGCAGATATTAGTGTATAAAAGCAATAACTAACTAGCCTAGTGAATTAAGAGATTAAGAATGTCAATCATGCAACATTAATACTTACCAGGTTTCCCTCCAGACAAAACTGGACTCTCCGATGGTTCTACCCCGTAGATCTGACGACAATAACAAAGGTACACGAGTGATATGAGAAATAGGAATATTGGAAAAACAAAACTTCTGTCCCAATATCATAACCACAAGAGAATCTGACCTCAATATTGGGATTTTGTTCCTTAAGATACTTCCCTGCTCCAGTTACTGTACCCCCAGTTCCAATTCCAGAAACAAGAGCGTCTATTTTCCCACCTGAGCTTTTCCATATTTCTGGCCCAGTGGTCTCATAATGAATCTACAACAGAGAAAAGAACAATGAACCTTTTTTTTTTCTTTTATCAGTAGTATCCATGAACTTCTCTAACCTGCAAGCATCATATCAAGACCAAAAGAGTACCTTGGGATTGGCAGGGTTTTCAAATTGCTGAAGAATGTAAGCATTTGGAGTCTCTGCTGATATTTCTTTGGCCTTCTGAACGGCACCTTTCATGCCTTTGGCTGGATCAGTCAGGACCAGCTCAGCTCCAAATGCATGGAGGATTGTTCTTCTTTCAAGGCTCATTGAAGCAGGCATTGTTATTATAAGTTTGTAACCCTTTGCAGCTGCCATAAATGCCAGACCGATCCCAGTATTTCCGCTAGTTGCCTCGATCAAAACACTCTTCATCAAGTCAAGCAAGGAACATTTTTGGTTAGACATCTTCATCTACGTCATCACTCTTATTGATGAAAGGGCTCACTTAACACTTAACAATGAAGTCCAGACGTCATTAGGCAAACACTTAACATACAAATTAAAAAAAAGTGATAAGTGTACTAGAAGTCTTAAAACTTGTCACGAAAATGCAATTAAGTTCTAAAACTTCTAAAAAGTGCAATCAAGTCCTAAAATTATCAAGTTGGTGTAATCAAGTTTTAAGTTCTAAAACTCGTTAGCATTTTCCGTTTGTCAATTTGGATGGAGTCAATGGAAGGACTTGATTACTCTAACTTGATAAGTTTTAGGACATGATTGCATTTTTTGAAAGCATTAGGACTCAATTGCATTTTCGTGGCAAATTTTAGGACTTAATTGCACTTTTTGAAAATTTTAGAACTCAATTACACTTTCCTGACAATTTTTATGACTTCCAGTACATTTATCAAAAAATAAAAACAAGACAATATAACCCGAAGTTGTTATCTTTAACCAATTGAGGCATCCAATATGGACCTCGTAGGTTCTACATCAATTGATACAATAGTATTATTCTAATCGATAGTCATAAATAGGAAGCAAAGTGTTGATGGCTAAATGAGATTACATAACCTCAACTTGTTTCAGCGGTCCTTGCGATGACCTAAGGCCTGTGTAAGCCTTTCAGAAGTCATGTAATAAGTAGAGAGAGAGAGAGAGAGAGAGAGAGAGAGAGAGAGAGATGTCCCATGATCTTATTTAGTTATAATCACTTTCAACGGGAAGAAGATGGTCCCATCCTTCAGGAATTATATCAAGAGTCTCAGATGCATGAGCTAGGAGAAGTTAGTATATAATTGTTTACTTTCATCATACAAGAGCACTGACTTTCCTTAATAAGCGCACAAAGCCACCAATAATTGTGAAAGTGGAAAGAGAGGTTTCAGTAACTGACCTTCCCTGGCCGAATAAGGCCCTTCTCCTCCGCATCTACAATCATGCTGTACCCAATCCTGCCGGCAGAAAAAAATATTGCGTATTAGACCCAGAATATGAAGTAACCCACATACCTAGAGGCTGCAGAAAACGAATGAATTTCAAAGTCTGATACATGCATTCCAAGTTTCTAACTTATCTGCTGTTGTTCACTAAGATTGGTGTGCGCATTTGTGTGCAAGGGAGAAAGGGGGTACGGGTTTGTGAGCAAATAAAGAGAGAAAAGCGGATGTTGAAGAAAATGGGGAGGAAGGAAATAACCATTTCGTATTCTTCTACTGTAGTAGCGTTCAGCTATAATGCTTTGCCCGGACAGACTAAACGTTTCTTAAAAGACTTGCAATTTTGTGGACCATTTTCATAGATGATAACCACGGTCGATTGTTTGATTCCACAGTGGATTCTGGCAAGGAGTTCGATTCAAACAACGGATGGAACTCCAGCCAGACTAACTGATCTTGCTGTCTAAGTTAAGAACATGCAGATTGGCCCATTGAATCAAGGTACGAATAACATATAATGTCAGAGTCATTAGCAGTTCATATGGAGGGGAACTTTTTTTGTCGAATTGAAATCTTCCTGTACCTGTCTTTGACACTGGAGCATGGCTCCATCGATTCTAGCTTGGCAGCAATTTGGGCAACACAACTGTCATTGACATGGTTGAGGTACACCAGAGGTGTCTTACCAATTAACTGCAGACAATTAAAATATGAACAAGAAAGTAACATAAGCACACCAGCACATTATCAAGACTACAGAGAATTAGTGAGATGAGCGATGCAAATAGCTTACTTGAGTGACATCTTTTGCAATCATAAACTGCTCTTCGACCATTTTTGTGCTGCTGCAAAATGTACCAAGATTTTTTAGGAGAAAAGGACACTAACATTGTCATAATTTGTGTAAAGGGTTCACTTTAGTGCCATAACTATTCTACCGATCACTTAAGTGCCGTAATTTTAAAAAACGTTTACTTAAGGGACGCCGGCTATATTTCTTCGACAATGAATCCTACGTGGATATATTTATTTACTCAAAGCATGTCCAATGTGACATCTTTTAAAGAGGGTTAAGTCCAAAGTGGAAAATTGCCTAAATGACGCGGCTTCCCGGCCCTAAATGACAACACATTGAAGAAGAATTGATCAAGGGGATTAAAGTGATTCTCTCACACTCTCTCTCCCTCACTCTGTCTCATTCTGTATACCTAGTGCATCCATTGACTAGCAACCTTTTGTGAAACTCTAATTGTGATTGATTACCTAGTAACCGACAACACGAGGAAGAAGAAGAAGAACAGCGATCTCATCGGGAACGGAACCGAACAGACTGTCATTTGGAGCATCTAACTGCACAAAAACAGCATCATCAATGAAGGAATGACTTAAATTCCAAAAAAAAAAGATGGAGAAATTACGCAAAACAAATCGACAAGCAGCGCCAACAAACCATCAGTAATTCTTTTTGTTGACCGCGTTAAATCATCTCGGAAACCTAACAAAACAGTCCGATGATTTCTATAATAAATTAATGTCATGTCGGTTTTTCCGGCAAGGAAAATCGCAGACATCACTCATTTGAACTTTTTTTTAAAAAAAAATTATAGTACTTAAATAATTAATTGAAAAATTATAATACTTAAGTGAGGGCTGTAGAAAAGTTGTGGCACGTTAGTGTTTTTTTTCCCGTTTTTAATAATCCAACAAATAAGCACATGTGCAAATAACTAAGAAGCTCATTTTGGCAAACGAGAAGGAAAATCCCACCAAAAACTTATGAAACTTTTCAAGATTTTCCATACATTGATTCAGCTGATCATACAAAACACTACCAAATAGACCTGAAGATTCAGACTTTTTCATACAGGTCACACCAAATTTTCACTCAGAACTGGAGATCGACCCATCAACTCATGAAGCAACACAAATGATAAAGCTCTACTGACAGAACAAAAAACTCAGACACTTCTGAGAGATTGGAAAAAAGAATGCAAATCAACTGTCGAATGCATTCGCAACTCAGACACATTGATCTAAAGCTCTACTGACAGAACAAAAAACCGCAACGAGAAAAGAGAAAAAAGAAGCTTACCTTATCCCGAGCAAAGACAACTTACAAAAGAGGAAAGCTTTGGACAATTGCAACAAGGAAAGCTTACCTTATATAGAAACCTGTTGTACAGAGGAAAATTAAGACTGTCCTCGTTTGTACAGGTGTACCTCTATAATTGAGACGGTTCTTGGCTTTTGGTGAGTTGACTTTTATCCAGTTGGAGCCGCTTCCGATATAAAGTTGACCCCGTTCGCTGATTTGTAGGGGATTCTCCTCTTTTAAGTTATCGTTGAATTTGCATTTTGGCGGGTCTCTCCCTCGTTCTGTCCCTCTTCCAACCACCTCGTGGCCTCCTCCCACCACGGGAATCAAGGTCACAACCACTGAATCATTGAGATCGCCACCTCGAAACCGTGTTGCGACTATCATTAGACGTCAACTGGAGAGAAAGAGAGGCGGTGGAGATGACAGCAAGAACCAAGGGTTCGATTACAAGGCTTGTCCTGACTCGGGAGGGAAAAAGAAACGAGTTGACATCCGCATCATTCTTTCAGAATCTGATCGCTGTTGAGCTGGCATTTCATGTAGACAGATATGGTGTTTTTGAAGGTTGAGATAACTTAAACTACATAACAGAAGTAGAATGTCTGTTTGAGCAATGACGTAGCAACACTGCCGAGTAACATGCAGCCTCTCTCGCTCTCTCAAATTTTGAACAAGATGGTGAACCTCGAAACGTACAATAAGATCGCGTGAATCATAGCTCCTGGCGTTTATGCCAAAAATCTATGGTATAAGAAGGGAAAATACAGCGAAACTGCATACATAGCGGAATCTAAAATGGCTGAATGAATGCATCAATAATTTAGCAAGAGTGTCAATAATTTGGAAAATCAACTTAAGATACACACCCCCGTGGCCGGTTCTTGAAACAGATTACTTCCTATGACGCAATACATCTATTTGGTTTCTTTTTCCATAGACAGCATTGCTAAAATCTTCTCAGGTTCCAAATCGTGGAATAACATATTCTAGGAGTGAGGAGATCTGATCATGTTCTTAAACGCAAGTTCAAGACAACCTTTCTGGGTCTGACTTGAGTCCCATATGGAAGAAATGAAATGATGAAATGGGGCAAGTCCCTGAACAAAACAAAGGTCTGCACCAACTGTCAAATTACTTACCTGGACGGGGTCGACGGGTCATCAACAAGGCCCATGTCCTAGATCGACAGCCTCCATTGTGCACGAGGTGGTGCATCGGCCTAAGGTCTGCTAGTTGTAGCAGAGCCTATGTCATAATTAGTGGTAGCGGCGGGCTTGGGTTCACGTGGCCTCAGAAAATTCAACTTCAATATGCAATATTCATCTCATTAGCTGCTTGTATTAGGTGATTATGGTACCGAAAAGTATAGATGGATTGCTTATTCCAGTGTGCAATAAAGTAACTTTAGTTTGAAAAACTGTCTTGTGCCATGGCGAGAGTGAGATTTTGTGAGTTAATTGCTCGACAATCGACTATATGAGTCCATAAGAATGACTCGAGCATTGCGTAAAGCGATCGCAATTGCCTCGACTCGTGTCAATATCAAGCCACAGCTGGTTCTCTGGGGATACTCTTTATGCAGCTGGGTCGTGGTAGACCGTAATCTTGTGCAAATATTATGTCCCGGTCGAGAAGTTGCTCCAATTTTTGCCACGGACAGTAACACCTGAGGACTTGGATCCCGATGATGTTGTGGAACAAGATATATGAACCTTGGTGTAATTATCATTGGTAAATTTCCCTAGCTGTGGAAATCGAATCACAAGGAAACCGAATCTAATCAAGAGTTGATCTTTATTATATTTTGAGCCCTTGAAATGTTGAACTCCACGGGGGAGCTTACATATTAAAAAAGGATGGGACAGTAACTGTACTAAAACTGATGGGTTGCTTAGTAGTTACGACCATGTAAGTTGGACCGACCACATTCACAATAGTGCAACCTACATATAAGTTTTCAGTTAATGCTGTAACGCAGACTGCGGTCCGAGTCTTCATAACGTACAAAGTCTCATCCGATGCTAGCATTCCTTTTCAATTTCACAGCAAAAAGCAGGGACTATTCAATTTCTAAATCTAAACATGAGAAAACCGGTGCAATTCCATTGTCGAAACCAACTACTTAATGATTTAAATTGAGAAAGGCTTTAAGAATTAAAGAATATGATTTAAGAAGGGAATTAAAGAACATGGTACATCTGTATTTTCCTGTTCAGATACGCCTATAGTGAGTATATATGTAATGAGAGTCCCACATTGACCAAAATGGTGAAGAGAGAGAAGGAAGAGAGAGAATAAGATGCAGCCTGGCAATCAATTGTAACATACTTACCTGGACGGGGTCTATGGGCGATCACGAAGGCCCATGGCCTAGGTTAGCGACCTCCATTGCACTCTGGGAGGGTCGCTCGCCTAAGGTCAGCCCAAGTTGGTTGAGCCTACGTCATAATTTGTGGCCGCGGGGGCCTGCGTTCGCGCGGCCCCTACCAATTTGTAGTTGAAAAGGGAAAGGTTAGTTCTTGCCGTGTTTAATTCATGTCCATGTTGGTCTAGGACGAATGTAAGTGGTTTGCTCGATTGGAATTGGTAGATGAATTGGAGAATTTATATTCGATGCTATTATACTGGTTTTGTTCTGTTTAATTTCAATGCGAAAAACAGTCTGGTTTAGTTTTGTCTTTTCTTTTCCATACTGTTTGGGTTCTGTTTGATTTAGGTTCGGCTTCAGGATAAATGAGACCGCCCCTCGCTCACCCTTATTGGTTAGGGGAGATTTTATACAATATAGAATCATAGTTGGCTATGACTCTGTTAGAAGAGCCAACTTGGGAACCATGAGGATAGTCATTGCTTTCTCTTGTATCTCTGCTAAGAGTTTTAGTAGGCAAAGGAGGGATTGTCGTTGGCAGAACTTAAAAGGGATCTTTCTTATGCCTCGAAGGAACGCCTTCATTGGGTACATCCGCGTTTTTCTGCGCAGCTCGCTGCAAGTGAAAACATCAGCATACAAATGGTAAACTGTTATCCTAGAGTTGGACATTTTCTGTATAAAGCTGTAAACATAGAATTCGACTCGTTTACAGAACAACATGTTTGGTGGGTGAGTCTTAATGTTCTCAAGCAACGAAATGGAATGCTGAGGGAGAAGGAGAAAAACAGAGAATTTTTAGCAAGATGGTTGAAGTTCAAACTCGAATAGAAGTATTTGTTTGATTCATATTGCATAAACAGGGCCTCCAACATCTTTTCCGATACCAAATCATGGATGAACAAATGTAAGGAGAATAAAAGTAGAGATCATCTTTCTAAATTTTACTGAAGCATTTTGAGTCTGGCCTTAGTCCCACATGGAAGAACTAACAAAGATGAAATAGACGAAGTCCCTGCCAAAACTGAAGCGGAAGCCGACTGTCAAATCACTTACCTGGACGGGGTCGATGGGCGATCAAGATAGTCCATGGCCTTGGTTGACGGCCCCCATTGCACACCGGGCGATGCGTCAGCCTAAGGTCTGCTCATTGTAGCGGAGCCTACGTCATAATTTGTGGTAGCGGGGGCCTGCGTTCGCGCGGCCCCCACAAATATGAGCTCAAAATTGTTTGTGAAGGTGATCTTGGCGCTGATGGATTGCCAATATGTCGAGAACTTTGATACACTTGTGAGCTGTTGTAGTAACATTGCATCTCCAAAACATCTGTAGTTGAGTTGAGTTGGCTTGTGATGGGCTGTGATCTCATGCCGAATAACCGATGTAGTATACCTTAGTTAAGAAGCTAATTTGACTTGTGTGTCCAACAGTAGTGCCTGAAGATGTATAGCCTGAAGAAGTTGAAGAAACGATCTTGAGAAGATTGAATTAGAAGTCGGTGTTAATGCAGGAATATATACCATTAGTTTAAATCCGGTTCGACACACAAAAAAAAAAAAAACACCGTATGATTCTTAATCACATGACCTTGTATTATAAAGCTTCTAGTCCCTTGCGTCTTGCAGTTTGTCAAAACTGGCAAATTAATTTGACACAAAAAACTAAAAGCTATTTGAAATTTGTAGCAGTAGTTCCTCTGCTAATAAAATTGCTTGCTTACTTAGCCAAAAAGGAAAAAACATGAGGTACTAACACTAAGCAATTGAGTATATACCGCATATAAGGTCACACATCAGCATTTTTTCCGTGCAGCTAGCTACGAGTGGAAACTTTTACCTACATATGGTAAGAATTGCCACATCGAATAGAATGCAAAGAGAGAGAGAGAGGCCCGAGAGTATATATTAGAGGAAGTGTCACAAGCAGTCGCTCGATCACACGGACCAAGACGGGGTCGTAGGGTGATCGAGAATGCCCGAGGCCCAGGTCAACCTCCATTGCACTTTGGTGGTGGTTGGCCTTAGGACTGCTTATCGTGGCAGAGCCTACATAATTTTTGGCAGCAGGGTCCTGCGTTCTTGTGTTCCATACCAATTTGAGCTCAAAATTGTTGTACAAAACCAATTTTCAGAAGCTCATCTCGTAGCAAGGCCTGGGAAAAACCTAAATGGATGAAATGATTCATGCTGACTGAAAAATCTCGATTGCTTGCTCATGCTACTATCTGAAATTTGAACTTCAATTCTTGTGCTTTTCACTATAAGCAGAATGTGTCATGATTCTGATAGCAAAGACTAGGGACTGCTGCAATGATTTTCAGCAGAAGCTCTTTCACGTGGTCAGCCGTAACAGATGGTGATGTCGTGCCAACTTTAGGCCATGGGCAAGAATTCACTCCAACTTGTACATTTCAATGTAAGTTGTATTAATGCTGAAATACTTCCCAAGCAACGAGCTCTCAGTTTTCAGTGCGGATTGTACTCCTATACTTGCCTTCATAAGAAGGTGAGTCCTCCAATCTGCATTTAACAGTACCATTATCCGTATTCCTTCTCTCTCTCATTAATTTCTTTCTGTTTGGACTTACCATCTCGGGCATCATCAAATTTACCGTTCGCAAGTCGCAACCTGACAATTCTCAGCTGTGTTAGATAATAGTCTGTCGCCCAAACTTAGAAGGCCTACGAGCTGAGGTTGCTAAGTAGGTGCAACTAGGCTTTTGCCACATCCATACGGGTCTTTTGCCCGTAGATTGGGCAAAATATACATAGAAACAGCAAACAATGATTGAAGAAAATGTTGTTTCCTCTCTACTTTGCCTACATCAGATACGCTCTAGCATCTCCACTTTCTTTACATGATATTATCGCATACCTCTTAATTCCATTTTTTCTAGGGCAGTTTCATCCACGAGTTGGTGTTCTGTGGTAAACATATGAAGCTTACTGACCGTAAGAAGTTGATAAGAGAAGAGGCCAATTGGAAATGGCACCATGTGAACTCGCCTACCATTTCGAGATGTCGACACATGCTGAATCTTGAAAAGATTAGTGCATGAATAGGCACGGTGATGTTGACAAGGAACAGAAATCGGACATAAGGAGCAAATGACCGGATATCATTGAATGATGGAACAGCAACTTTGACAAAGAATCGATTATAGACCTTCAAATGATGCCAATTCCACGACGGAGGATGCGAAGAAGATGAAAAAGAGTTCATTAAATCGAATTCTAAAGCCACCATGGCCGGCGCCTGAAGCAAATTTATCATCAGAATGAAGTAGGGAGACGCTATTTAACAACTCTTAAGCCTGATTATGTCCCACATAGAAGTACTACCAAAAATCAACCGATGAGGTCCCTGAACAAAGACTAAGGTGTGCACCAACTGTCAAATCACTTACCTGGACGGGGTCGATGGGCGATCAAGAAGACCCATGGCCTAGGTCATCGGCCTCCATTGCACGCGGGAGGTGCGATGGCTTAAGGTCTGCTCATTGTAGCAGAGCCTATGTCATAATTTGTGGTAGCAGGGGCCTGCGTTCGCGCGGCCCCTACAAATATCAAGCCAAGCACTTACTGCATTTCTTTGGAGAGTGCAGAATAGTAGACTGAGCAGATGAAGTCACAGAAAGCTAGCTTGTGTTTTTTTCTGTTCGTCTATTGAGATTTACCTCCGGGATTTAGTACTTATGAGGCAAGTGAAAGCTTGATACATCATATGCAATTTGCACAACATGAGATAAAAAACATGGTGCTCTCAATAGCCATAATGCCTAGGCCTGGTTGCATCATAAGGAAAACCCATCATTTGTTTGCGGCGCATTTTGATTCTCTGAAGTCCGAGCCTCCGTCCTTGTGTGTTGTAGCGGGGGCCTGCGTTCGTGCGGCCCCACCAATTTCGAATTGAAACGTTATGTTATGTGATAACGGAGGAGTTGAGGGCGGTCTATTATCCAAAATCATCCCATCATTTGTAGATGGTTCGATGACACTATAAAACCAATTGTTTTTTCTTTTATCTCTAGACTCAATGCTATATATGTGTTCCGCTTGAATTATGTGTGTTGGGTCTCACAACTTCAATCTTGGCGTGGAAGTACTAGTTTAGCCACAAAATAAAGAGTGAGAGTCACAATACGCTCAGCTTCTTGACAGATTAAATCAGAAGTTTTATTTGTAGGTGATTAGTGCATGAGAACATCATTGGGAATAGGTTTATGCTTAAGCAGATCATTTAACTAATCCGAATGCGTCAAAACTTTACTTCAGATGATGTCGGTGAAAGATTACGGCATAAGATTGGATAAGTCGATTCGAAGCAGGAGCAGCTTGCAAGTAGAAATTTAACGCATAATTGGCTGAGGAACGACAAGCATAAATTTAATGTAGCGGGACGGTGTCAAGCGCAGGCATGAACAATGAATTGCTGTAGTGGGTTGAAAAGTGTGATCATTCAAGTACCATTACGAGGAGATGCAGAAGGAAGAGGGAGGGCACAAGTACATACACTGCTGGTTCCCACAATGTGCTTATGAATGTGATGATAGAGTGGCACAGAGATATTCCCATATTGGAAAGACACCAAGAAATAGAGGTGAACTGAAGTGGGCAAAAGTTAAGGTTATGGCACTATCAAATCACTTACATGGACTGGGTCAATGGGCGATCAAGAAGGCTCGTGGCCTACATCATCGGCCTCCATTGCACTCGGGAGGTGCGTCGGCCTAAGTCTGCTCACTGTAGCAGGGCCTACATCATAATTTGTGGCGGCAAGAGCCGGAGTTGGCACGGAGTTGGCGCAGCTCCTCTCAATTCCTAATCAAATCTATAATTTTGATTCTTCTTGTCTTGTGCCAAAGATTGAACCCGTAATCACTATGATTGGGGGAGAGAGTTTTATTGAGTCATCTATGAATACTTGACATTCTTTGGTTGTGTCCAAGGGTTTTGGGCAAAAGGTTTGACGTGTTTATAAGAACTCTTGTGGATTTGTAATGCATTTTATGGTAGGAGGAAGTCATATAGTAAGGACATTACCGGAAAGCCTAAAGCAAAAAACTACGCGCATTCGTCGTAATTCCTCGAAAGATGATATGAAAGATTGAGAATGCACACGAAATGGCATTCTGCTTGAAAATTGTTCCGAATCACTCTGATTCAAGTTCTATTCCCAAGAATATGAAAAGGAAAATAATGGGAAAATGTATAAGAAACTCTTTTTAACCATCCTCAAATATGCTCTAAACTTGAAATTGGACACAGTTTAATCGTGTTACAGAGCACAGATATCCAGCTCCGCAGCCAGCTTCGAGAGCTTACGATGATAAAATCACAAAGAACAAGCATTTCTAACGCAAACACTTATTCATGGAAACACATCAACACGGAAAATATCGGCATCAAACAACAATGATCGGCGACTAAACTCCATACCATGCTTCAGAAGAACAGCACAAAACGCATGTGATTCTATGGACCGGAACTCCCCCCGCTCAGGGCTCAAAAACCATATTCTCGGCCTCTCGCTTGACAGACTCGAATAGCACAGACGACAAGTAACGTTCTCCAAAGCTGGGGAAGACCACCTGACAAAGTTTATACAGTTTAAATTTAGAGAAAAACCCAAATTGAAAATCCAGGAAACGAAGAATCATTAGTAAAAACCTACAGTATAAATTCGGTGAAAGGAACACTTACAACAATGAGTTTCCCAGCATTTTCTGGCCTTCTCGCTATCTTCATTGCTGCAGCAGCTGCTGCTCCGGATGATATTCCTACCTGCAAAGTGTATCCCGACGATCAAGGGACAGCAATTAATGCAAAACGTACAATAAGAGCTAGCAGTAGTTTTTTCTCTCTTATTTTCTTTTGGCCATAAGAGCTAGCAGTGGTTGACATTCCCAATGGATCACAATATTTGCACAACAGGAAAGCACAAAAATTGAGCACAGATTACCAGCAAGCCTTCCTTCAATGCGAGCTGCTTTGCAGTTTCAATAGCTTCATCACTTGATATCTGGAAAGTGATTTCGCATTAAAATTTACTCAGGAATGTAAGATCAGAGAATGATGATCAAGACTAGATGGCAAAAAGTACAGACTTCCTAACCAACTATAAAGGATTGCTTCCAGAAGCGGCTGATAAATAACAAGCATAACCATTTGGAGTATACTATCATCGCACTCAATCATTTGCAAATATACCTTTCAAGGTCATGTGTTTGCATTATTTAGATATAGTACAAAGACTACAAAGTCCACATCTAAGCACTCATAAAAGGAGCAATTTTGGAATTTTAGCACAAGAGACTGTCAAAGTACATCAGTAGGATGAATTATCAATGTCCATATATATAATTGTGAAGCCATACGGAGAAGGGGGAGGTGCCCGGTTCTTCTTGTTTAACTTTTTTACCTGTTACTCAAAGCTGCCTTGCAATTTCCTATTAAACCTAAGTCCTTGTAACTTCGAAAGCTCGTTGCTTACGAACCCATTCTTGCTAAAACCAGCATTATCCTATTTTACGTCATCTAGCTCTTCCGTCCTTTGACATATGGAAGTATATGAACTGTTTTCCCAGCTTTAGGGAAAAGGGAACAAATTATGATTTCTTGCACAAACTCTTACCTGGATTACTTCATCAAGTATATCCACGTCCAAAACTCCGGGGATGAAACCAGCGCCAATACCTTGAATCTTATGAGGGCCTGGGAAATTATGGGCATGAGATTCATAGTCAAATAGAGGATTGCACAAGATAGTCTTCAAAAGAGACACATCTTCTTTGGAGATTTTTGGCACTTAGCACGCTTGTAACAGCAAGAAAAGGATACAATTGATGGTATTAGAAGCTGAAAAAGCAGTGTCCCCTGTTGCAAAAATCTTATAAACAATGCAAAATAGAACAATAAAAGGAAGCACAAAGTTACTTGCTTCATTATTTAAAGGGCCGTCCTAGTGCATGGTTACTGCGGCACTTGTCGAAAGTTAAGCAAGAACTAACTAGCGTAAGGGATTATAAGATTAAGAATGTCAATTATGTGAAATCAGAACTTACCAGGTTTCCCTCCAGACAAAACCGCACTCTCTACTGGTTCTATCCCGTATAGCTAAAGACAAAAACAGGGGTTTGCACGTGATCTGAGAAATAGGAACATTGGAAAAGCAAAACTTCTTTCCAAATATCATAACTAGAGTATCTAACCTTGATATTGGGGTTTTGTTCCTTGAGATACTTCCCTGCTCCGGTTACTGTACCCCCAGTTCCAATTCCAGAAACAAAGGCATCAACTTTCCCACCTGAGCTTTTCCATATTTCTGGTCCAGTGGTCTCGTAATGAATCTAACAACAGAGAGAAGATCAATGAACTCTTTTTTCTTTGATCAGTAATATCAATGAACTTCTCTACCCTGGGAGCATCCGTCTTATCAAGACCAAAAAAAATACCTTGGGATTGGCAGGGTTTTCAAACTGCTGAAGAATGTAAGCATTTGGAGTCTTTGCTGATATCTCCTCTGCCTTCTGAACAGCACCTTTCATGCCTTTGGCTGGATCAGTCAGGACCAGCTCAGCTCCGAATGCACGGAGGATGGTTCTTCTTTCAAGGCTCATTGAAGCAGGCATTGTTATTATAAGTTTGTAACCCTTTGCAGCTGCCATAAATGCCAGACCAATCCCCGTATTTCCACTAGTTGGCTCGATCAAAACACTCTTCATCAAGTCAAGCAAGGAACATTTTTTGTTAGATTTCTTCATTTGCATCTATCACTCTAGAACCTACAAAATGAGATTACATAATCTCAAATTGTTTTAACAGGCCTTGCGATAACTTGCCTGTGTAAGCCTTTCGGAAGTCATGTAATTAGAAGAGAGAAAGAGAGAGAGAAATTGCCCATGATTTATTTAGTCATAATCACTTTCCATGGGAGAAAGATGTTTAATCCTTCAGGAACTATATCAAGAGTCTCAGATGCATGAGCTAGGAGTCCTTAGTTTGTATATTATTACTATTATTGTGAACCTGGAAAGAGTGGTTGCAGTAACTAACCTCCCCCGGCCGAATAAGACCCTTCTCCTCTGCATCTGCAATCATACTGTACCCAATCCTGCAGGCAGAGAAATCCATATTAAACTCTGAATATGAAGTATTCCACATACCTAGAGGCTGTAGATAATGATGAGATAAGCAATGAATTTCAAGTCAAACACATCCAAGTTACTAACTAATCTGTCGTTGTTCACTAGAATTGGTGCACACACGTGTGCAAGAGAGAATGGAGATCTGGCTACGTGAGCAAATAAAGAGAGAAAGGTGGATGGCGAAGAAAATGGGAGTGAAGGACCTCTTCTATTGTAGCAGCCTTCAGCTTTAAGCCTATAAGGCCTGGCCCTAAATGTTTCTTGAAGGACTTGGAATTTTGTGGACCATTTTCACACACAACAACTGCAGTCGATTGTTTTACTTAACAGTAGATTCTGGCAAGGAGTTGAGTCAAACAAAGAATGGAGACCAGACTAACTGATCTTGTCGTCTAAGTAACAAACATCCAGATT